GATTCACCAAATACGCTAGACTAATTCCAATGCCAGAGACAGCCAGGACAGAATACGTCATCAAGTTGTTCAAGGACAACTGGGTAAGGGACTTTGGGTTACCAAAGACCATCATTAGTGACCGAGACGTCCGATTCACAGGTGAGCTGTGGAAGAAGACTGCAGAACAGATGGGCAGTCAACTTCAGATGACTTCATGGAATCATCCCGAAGCCAATGGACAGGCCGAACAAATGAATAGAGTTGTACAACACTTGCTGAGGCATTACATCAAGCCCAGCCAGGACGACTGGGATGAGCAGTTACCTCTCATCGCCAGCCTGTACAACAATGCTATACATAGCAATACCGGCGTTAGTCCTAACCAACTGCACTTAGGATGGAAGCCTAGATCAGCATTAGACTTCCTCCTACCTGAAAACCGACCTGCTGCAACTCCAGGCACTCTCGAATACGGGGTGCAATATGAGAAGTTGCTGCAAGAGGCTGTTGAACATATGAAGAAGGCTCAACAAGCCATGATTGCTTCTGAGAATCAACATCGCAGGCAGTCCACATTTCAGGTAGGGGAATGTGTCTGGGTCAAGGCTAGTGAATTAGGACAAGAATTTGGAATATCTCGCAAACTAATGCCTCAGTACTTTGGTCCCTGGGAAGTCTTGGATGTAGTGGGAGATGAAATGGATGGTCCTATGTACGTCATTCGTGTCCCTGGTCATCTACGCACTCACCTAGTCTTTCATGCCTCAAATCTTGCACCTTTCGCTGAGACTGATCAATTCCCTTCCAGGAGATCGATGCTGCCCCCAACCATGGATGGACAAGTCGACATCGACGATATTGTGGATCATTGGGATATGCCTGTTCCGAAGCCGGTGGGTCGAGGAAGACCTCCTAAACCCAAGAGGGAGTACCGGATCAGATTCAGGCATCATACGGATCCTAAAGAAGATCGGTGGCTTACCCGGGAGGAACTGATGGAAACAACTCCTCAGGTGGTGGCAGATTATGAACGGAAGCTAAAAGGGAAGGCACCTGCGAAGTAAGCATCTCAGCGGACTTTCGAAGCTAAGGGGGATGGAATGTGAGGATTGAGCCCTCAAGTAGGGGCCTTGCCATGATGTACATGTTCTGGGCTAAGGCCCCAGCAAGCCTAGTGCCCGCCCTAAGACAGGCGGGCCAGCAAATCAACAAGAGCCTTCTATGCCAACATTTCACGAAGTGGGGTCTATACAGTTGCAGCACGCCAGTTGGTTGGAGTGCACCGAGTCTCGGATTTCAGCAAATGCTGAAATGCCCAGGGCCTCTGAGTTAGTTAGGCCCTGGGCACTCGAATGTGAGGCCGACAATGCATGCTGGGTAGAGAGGTCGAAATGCCAAAGGGAAAATCGGCCCACTATCTGAATCTGACCGCAGGCCTTGATGAGAGAGGAGCAACTGCATTGCTCCGGGGCCCAACTTTATCGGGTGGGCTTCAGCCTCTGGGTCCCCGTCGCAGGCTGAAGGGAGGCCGCCCACACGCCGCATTGGCATATAGGCAAGCAGGGCGAGGCAGCAGGAATCTTGGCCAATGCTGGCATATGCGGGCACGCTGCGCAGATGCAAGTGTGCTGCGCTATGCAGAGCAGTGCTGCGCTAAGACAGGGCAGGCCAGCGCTAGGTGGTAGGGCGCTGCCTACGTGCAGGGCACTCGCGGCCATAGCCAGGCCGCATGAGGGTGCAGGGGAGGTGAGGGCGAAGGTGGTACTTCGGAGGTGAAGGGCGCTGTGTGGGTAACAAGGGAGAGTGTGGGGAAGATGACACGTACCTGGTGATGGTGGAATACAGCATCGGTGTTGACATCATCACGCGCTGGTAGTCAAGTTGTCTGGTTGCTGTTCATTGCTGTAGTTGTAGGATAGGCAGTAGAGTAGATAGGGCGCCTGGCGCCATTCACAAGAGAGAGCTGTCGGTGTTGCCCTGATGGGCATGGACATTGACTCACGATTCTTCTGTATCATTCTCAATTGGATGGTTACTCGGTTCCATGTGCTATCTGCTTTGGCATTGAATACTTGGACTTCAGTGTGATTTTGCATTTTGGATTTCAGTGCTTCGTCCATACTCATGTTCCTTGCAGATTGATTGATTGATTGATTCGCGGGGAAGGGGTCGCCCTTCCTCCCCCCACATGCATACACACACACACAAACGAAAAAATAAAAATTTCTCTTTTTTTAATTAACTTTCTTTTGATCAAAATACATGTTTTTTGGTTTTCTATTTTTTTAAAATAAGAAAACACCTTATAATCCAAAAACAAAATTGCCACGTTGTAGGTCTCTTCAAACCCTACAACATATACATATATATATATTT